GGGGTATACAAAGCACCAACAGCATCACCACAAGCAGTAATACACCCAGAGATCCATCTTGACAGTCTCTGTGAAGACATAGTGGACCCCTTTGATCTTTCTGCAAAGGAGACAAAGCATCTAGGTGATTTCCAAAATTGCATCTGCCCTAAGTTATGAGTGTGTTGAGATGTGCTCTCCGCCCTAACAATGATATGTGCATTCTCATTTATTGTTGTAGCTGTGTGGATGAAAGGGATGCTCCCACAGACATTGTGCTGATCTTTCCACCAATCCAGGAAGTTCTTCGCCTGCAGGGGAACTGTAATCTGTTTGTTCAAGCTGTTCCTGGTTGAGGAACAGGTCCTCCTGAGCCAGCCCTGAAAGCAGCAGAGGAGTAATCTTGCATGCTCGGTCACAAAGGTGCAAGCTGCCATGGTCCCCAGCAAGCAGTTTCTTACTTTAGTATGGGGGCTTCTTTGAACTGTCCTGATCATATTCGACAAAGTTATGAATCTGGGTGTGGAAAGTAAGGCCCTGGCTGCCAATGAATCCAAATATGCCCCAATGAATTGTGTTCACTTTACAGGGGCTAACTTGCACTTTATGTTTTGTTGACTTGTTGATGTCCAACTGAACACTGCAATGCGGTGCACCACTGAAACCCTTAAGTCGACCCCCAACACCTTCGCTGCCAATGCTGTCACACACTGCTCCCACATCCATTCGCCGCGATACCACAACCCTTCAGGAATTCTAGAGAATTGTGGAAAATGAACATCTTCCCAGCCACCAGGACTTTAACAACATCCCTCATTACCGCTTGCAGTCGCATAAGCTCTTTTGGACCCACACATTTAACCTTCAACAATGCAACTTCAGTCCTGATGAAGCTTGGAAAGCTGAATAGAGTTCACAACAAGTCACAAACAAACGACTTGTGGAAGATCTAATGCAGAAGATCTCTGGCTTCAATCTCCCATGAAGCTCATGGGCAACCCTAAACCGTAAGGGGAATGATGTAGTTGAGGTAGGGGAGGAGGATGGAGAGATTGAAAACCAGACCATTAGTTCTCTTCCTTTGCGGCTCCATTGCTGATGTGTGATGGAGTCAGGTAAGTTGTTTCCTCCTCCAACCCTTCTACCAGATAGGAAGACAGAAATGGCTTTAGAGATATAGAGGATCAAAAGGATGGGCAGACAGGAGTGGGACTGCTTACTTTGTGTAAGCTTAAGGCTGACTCAGGTTACCGATCTCTGCCAAGTGAGGCACTGTGTGGTAGCCCTGTTACTCCTACCCTTGCCACATGTAGCAGTTTAGCTATTTGTCCCCATAATATCCCCAATAACAGGTAGGCTCTTCCATGACTGAATGAACGTCAGTCTGTAAGGGAAGTATTTGAAAGGATCTGCAGCCTGAAGTGGCTGTGCCCGCATGAGTCCTATGTTTCAAAGTTCAAGCAAAAGATGAAGAAGCAGTCTGCTCTAAAGATACCTCTTCTGCCTGCTCCATAAGTGAGATTTGTGGGGGGAAACCTCTCAAAAGATATCCATCCATAGCAAGAGAGGCTCACTTAGCAGACTGGCAACCAAAGAAACCTGAATGCTTTGCAGAATCCTAATAACTGGAAGCAGAGGGGGCACACATTCTTCCTCTCCTATCTTGGGTAACTATTTTAAATGCTGATGGCGGTCCACCAGAGGCCTGGAGAATTATATACCACATGAATGAGTTATGATACCATGGCAATGAAGGATACATAATGGTAACAGTTTGCTACTTGCAGGCTACCTTTCAGCCAACTGGAGGTCACAGAACCAGTGCATTTCTCCACTGAGGACAACATAAGGTAGTTAACATCTGCAGGCTCTGGAGCCCTGGGTGGGAAATTGTAAATGGCTCCTACTCATCCCTGAGTGTCTCCTTGTAGCTGGGCACGCTAACACGAGAGTTACCATCCCACTTCCCATCTTGGCCCCTAAGGACTCCATGACAGTCTTTCTTGCCTCAATAATACTCTCCTTAGGGGTCAGTTTATTATAAAAACACAGTGAACCTATCCATAACAAAAGTTCCAAGCCACAGTCTATTCCCCACCCACAGTGCATGTAGCCCTGACAATCTCACATCCTCTAGTCCATTGACATAGCACATACCACACTCCGGCCTCCTCCACCAGATCCAGATGCTTCTTCAGGCCTCTCCTGTCATTTGGCCAGGAAAGCCACCCCCAGCTCTTCCAGATGGAGTGCAACCCCACTCTTCCCAACAGGAACTCCCAAAGCATCTATTGGGAATATCCATCATACTCCCTTGTCAGCTAACCTCTCATCTCAGACAGGCCACCAGGTAAACCCATCCACTGCTTCCCCACCTTCATTCCTCTCCAGCTTGGAAGTCAGCAGGAAACGCCCTCTGCTGCCTTCAGCCCTCTCCAGATCTAGCTCAGGGAGGTCAGCAAGCAACCCTGTGCTTCAGCCTTCCCCCAGGGAACTCCTCTCATTCCTCCTTGCTCCTTTATGTTGCCTCACCACCTTAATTGGCCAAGCTGTACAGTACTTGCAAAGGGGCGCTGGACTTGCTTCATTTAAAGGGAATAGCCACCGTGTGACAGAGACTGATAGCTCTGAGACCTGGGACTAGTAGAGTGAAAAACTTATTTACATGAGCTCACTTCCACGAGATGTAAAACCCTGGGGGTGGGGTTGGGGGTTGACATTTATAGCAGGCTGTCCTTTCTGCAGGATTACCCTGCCAGAGCCACTACCCAGGGCTTTCCACCGCTGAAGATCAGCAACATGTTGTGACTGGCTCACTGCATTATAGTTGGTACAACATATACTGTACAAGATGAGTTAGGAACATGGAATAACATGTATCAGGTGTGTGAGGGTGTCAACCACAACATCCAGCTCTTTCCTACTATACTCTATAATCCAATTATCTCAGAGCCTTTAGAATCAACTTCAGTCAGAACTATCCATAGGATCCCTTTAATCAGAAATCCTGAACATCTCAAATCCCAGTCCCATGTAATTTAGCAATCTCATGTGGTTTAATAGTGGTTGGGTAATTTCAATTTACCACATAATGCACCTGCTGTCTCTAAGATACGAAATGCAAATATCCTCAATATGGATTGGAAGCTAATTGACAGCAGGTGTCCTCTAAAGCCACAGTGTCCAGAAAATGTAATTTCCTTCTCCCAGTACTTGACAGTATTTACACCGTAACCTGTTACAATCCTTCACCAAGGCTCAGCTTGTCTCCTGCTGCCACAAGATGTTATAGATAGCTACCATGGGCTTCACACGCACCAAATCAGTCAAGAGACTTTAATCACTTTGTGGACTCAGTGTCCTATAAGACTAAAACTGTCCTTCAGGTCTCTGTCCATCACATACTCAATGCAAGGCATTCTACCTCTAGAATTTCAGACCTGTCATCTTTAAGTGTTGATGGTGCAGTCATTGCTGAAGAGTAAACATTTTTAATATGCTGTCTGTTCAATTTTTTAAAAATTGTCCATTTATCCTTCATAAATCATGTTATATTTGTGAGCTTCTTGATGTTCACAAGATTGTTCACACACTTCACAGTGTCACCACAAATCTGTCTCAAGAAATCCATGCATCAGACACAGGAACTTTGCTTACCCTCTTATTCAGACATTATCTTTCAACACTCAGACAACTGGAACACACATGTCCCTTTTCTCTTTGCATTTTTATTTCTCATGGACACATGGAAGATGAGAGGCCCAGCTAGAGGTATTTCTGTTCCTGGCTTTCAGATATTTGAAGGCTTCATTGTTTTCTTAAAAACCACAGTTTAGGTCAGCTGGAGTGCTAAATTCGTTCCTTCTATTTGAAAACCAAGGCATTGCCAAATGGAAGATAAGAACTAGGGATGTTGACACAAACTATGAATTTCACTTCTGAGTGTGCTTGCCTTTTATTATTTCAATTTATTTTTCTGATCTCTTCATTCTCTTCTTTTAACTGATAGAATTGCTGTGGAAAGCCAATAAGCAATGCATAATGGGTTTAGTCACATATCTCCTCTGAAGTCAATAACAGTTGCAAACAGTGAAACACATTTGGAAAACTGATCCAAAGTGACCCCATTTTGCTCCGTTAAGCTAAACCCTGATCTCTCACATTATCTTACCTGTAAATCACACAATAAGTGGGGCGTTAATTTGTGTAATTTCAACATTGTAGCTTGTCTTCTTTGAAAAGAAAAATGCCACCAGTAAACTTGCTATTGACTAATGCTCTCTATATTTTACTATGCTGTTTGGAAGACTATTGTTGTAATAAGATCTATCTCACCAACTCCACATAGCCCAGTTGAGAAATGAGGGAGAAATGCATCATTTAACAATTGCCTGTTACTCTGCTTTAGAACTATATACTGTAGGGATTGCCAAATGGAATGTTTGATAATGTATAAGAATCTAGAAGAGAATTGAATGAGGAATTAAAAACTCACTTCTTCCATGAGTTTGCAAAACACTAACCCATTAAAAAAACCTCTCTATAGCAAGAGAAACAACATCGTTCTCTGGATCTCCCAGTATATCTTGTCTTACCAATGTTTGTCTTTCAAAGCCTGAACTAGTTCCCACTGAATTTAATGGAAAGTCTGTGAGCTGCAAAGAGATATGAACTGGGTTTTAATAGACTGTAGGGTCCCCATAGCAGGGACTCTGAGGCTAGCACAGCACCAAGCACATTCCAATTCTTGACAGGAAATAACAAAAAATGTTAATTCTGAAACTTATTTATGAGTTTCCTGAGCCATTGACATTTTTTTTTAAAGCTACAAAAGCACATTTAAAATTTTAAAGCAATTTTTAACACAAATGACTTTGACCGTTTGTGTGGAAGTCTAGGTGGTTGTTAACTGCACGGCTACTTCCATCATTCAATACTTAAGCATTCTAAAAACCAAAAATGCCACTGTGAGGAAGCAAAGAACAGTGAAATGAGAAGTATCTGGACCCATTCAGATGGTATATTGTTAAGACTGTTTTTATTTCCTTTTTACAAAAAAATAGAAATAACAGACAAAACATACTAGACAAAAAAACAACGCTATTGCCTTGGTCTCATTGAGGAGCTCGGCAGGCAGAGTCCTGGCTGAAAGTTTTACAGTATATGTCATTGAGAAAGGGAACTACAGACATATTACAGTATATCCATGCAATAGATGAATTACAAAATGTGTTCAGTGGCCAGATGAACATTCTGGAGGTTGCCCGTGTCACTGCAATTTCCAAACCATTACTTTTGCTCCCCCATGCCTTTGAACAGTATATCTTACAAACAAGTTACAGACACACACATAGCATAAAAACATTTTGTATATGGTCTAACTGCTACAAATTTAAGGCATCCTAACAGTCTTGTTTTGCTGGTGAGAGTTATGTCTCATATTAGTGTTCTTAAAAGAAGATATTTCAGGCATTTCAAACCATGTTTGAAGGCAGACAAGACACCATGAGATGTGATTTAGAGGAAGAATTCCTGCAGCTCTGGCTCTTCAATACTTTTTTGGCTGTAAGATTTCAGACTTTTCCTATTGATGTCATTATGCCTGGGGAGAAAAAGAAGAAAATTATCCATGATTATACTAATGATACGGAGTGTTTGGTCTTGTGCTTGTTTATCTTGTTTTATTTAGAATGCAAGTTATGTGTGGTGAATGCAACTTTATCTACAAGCTTGATTCTCCAAACATTTACTACTGAATGGAGGGCTTAGTACTGTATGTTGTTCCACTGACTTCCTTATAGCTCTTATTCAGGTATCAGATTCGCATGGGCAGATATCCAAAGCCAGCCTGTAGAACTGGGGTCTTTGTTTGTAAAGCATTATGTAAATTAAGGCACTATTCAAATATTTAATGATAATGGGTAGAATTTTCAAAAATTCCTAAGTCCCATTGCAAGCCAGTGGAACTTAGGTGCTTTTGAAAATGTTACCCCAATAGTATGTTCAGAAAATCATATTCAGCACACAAAAATTCAAACAAAAAGTAAACAAAAGGATGGCAATAATTATATGGCAAGCTCATTATGGCAAAGACCATATCTTGTTTGTAGAACACCAAGTATTCAGTACCTTTTACAATTCTTCCAGTTTTATTAATTAAGATGTTATTTATTAGCAACATCGATAAGTATGTCTTCTCTATAATATATATTTTAATCTCCAGAATGCCCCATTCAACCAGTTTTTAAAGGGGTGTACTATGTGCTCCGAATTTTATCCTTTAATTTAAGCAGGGAAACCAAAAAGAAAAAGATTTAAGTCTGCAAACTATTTTATCATATATAAATTCAATTCAGAACACTCCAATTCTTTTGATTTATCTGTGGTCTGAATCATCCAATAGCATAATGTGAGTCCAATGCTGTTCTAATTCTCTTCAATAAAGTTTTTAAATGTTGGGGTAGGATTTTCAAAAGTGCCTAAGGGAGTTAGGCATCCAACTCCTCCCACTTCCACAGTGACTTCTTTTGGACACTCTTAAAATTCCCACCTTCCATTATTTGTCCTTAGCAGTAATTCTCCTACAGTATAATCATCATATAACTTGGTCACTGTAAGGGCCAGATTCTGGTGTGTGGTTAAACTTCACAGAGCACAGGTCAAGGGTGTGTGTCTGAAAAGGTGGCTTCAAGCTCACGTTTGCACAGATCCTGCTGTAACTCTGCAAGCCAGACAGCTGCTTTTGGGATGACTCGCTACTGCGTTGTTTTATGCCAGTGTAACACCACTGGAATCCACAGCTGTGTGACTCTCTAAGCCTTCCTCATGTGGAAGGCCATGCAGAGCACAAAAGAAGCCACATGACTCAAGCATCCTCCCTGCTACAGCTCTACAACTGCTCCAGGGTTTGTGGGAGGGATGCAGCTTTTCTAGGGGAACATGTCATTTAGAGAAGCTGCACCTTGACTCCACCTAGGGAACACCATCACTGCCTCTCCTCAGTCTGCTGCCCAATGCAGCATTTTCCATGTTTTTGTAACCCTCCATGCTGAGCTATGGGAGTGAGTGGGTGGGATCTTAGTGCCCCGCTTGTATACTGTTCCCAGTTCCTGCCAACCTGAGGGAGAAGATTGTCATAACAGGGTCTCCTGGTTGATAGTGGAGATGGCTACCACTGTGCCCCCAGACTAGTGCACTATAGGGTCCCTTACACAGCAGACACTGATGACTGACCATAACTAATCTTCAATCTATTATGCATTCACTTTGCGCTCAGGAAATATAAATCCCAGTGTAGTCAATTACTGGGCACTGGAACTCACATTGGCAATGTCTACTGCTTTAATAGGCATTTATAATTGTTAAAAGGGTGTACTATTTATTAACTACCTGAGGGCACTATGATGGTGGATTCCCCTAAAGCACTAGTACATCCAAACAAAGTACTTAGTTGCTGATGGCCAGCGGCTAATACAGAGCTTCTTACTGATAAGATGAACCAGTGCTCACTTTAATGTATTACAGATTTCAAATGAAAAACTGTGGGAAGTGAACATTTCATTGGCATCTAGGACACAAGTAATTGCAAACATTTGTTTGGACTTGTAATAAATAAAAAGCTAACCAGTCCTTTCAAAGAGAAAAAAATCACCCTCCACATTGAAATCTCTCCTCAGATGTTCAGAGAAATGGAGTGAATCTAATTTTACAAGGACCCTGGAAATGTTAATAATTTCTTCGCTATCAAGCTCTGACCAACTTGGAAAAGGAAACAACATGCTGAACCCCTGACACAGATGAGATTTTTAAATGTTTTTTAAAAAAGAAGTTGGGGTTGGATGGGGATGTTGGTTGATTTCAGGTTGATCTCAAATAATTATTCACCATTTGCTAAAAAATTACATATGGAATGGTTAGAGTTAGAATGAGTTTGAGACTGTCCAGATAGATAAGACACAGGCCTAAGCATCTGAAAAAGGTATTAACTGTAGAGGCAGCACCCTATTCGGAACAGGTACTTCTTTTTTTGGAAGAAGCTGCGTAATGTTTCAATCAGAATTACAGTCTTCCAAGTCATTCCAGGGGAAAAGTCAGACTCAGACCAGAATGACTAGTAATGGGACTGAGGCTGATACTTTCCCTAACACAGTGATCACCGACTGGTCGATCCTGGAGCTTCTGACAGTCGATCACGATCTGTGGCTGCTAAAAGTCTGGTGGCGCAGCGGGGCTAAGGCAGGATCCCTGCCTGCCCTGGCCCCATGCCGCTCCCGGAAGCAGTCAGCATGCCCCTGTGGCCCCTGGGGAGTGGGGGCAGGGGTCTCCGTGCACTGCTCCTGCCTGCAAGCACCGCCCCCCCAGCTCCCATTGTGCTACTGTCCAGGATCCGCCCAAGGTAAGTGCTGCCTGGTGGGAGCCCGTACCCCAACCCCCAGCCCTGAGCCCCCTCCCAGAGCCAGCACCCCATACCCCCTCCTGCACCCCAAACCCCCTCCTGCACCCCAAGCCTCTGCCCCAGCCTTGAGCCCCCTCCCAGAGCCAGCACCCCATACTCCCTCCTGCACCCCAAACCCCTATTCCAGGCTCAGTCCGGAGTCCCCTGCCACACTCCGAACCCCTTGGCCACAGCCCAGAGACTGCACCCTCTCCTGAATGCCAGCCCCCTGCCCCAGCCCGGTGAAAGTGAGTGAGGGTGGGGGAGAGCAAGCGACAGAAGGAGGGGGGATGGAATGATCGGGGCGGGGCCTAGGGGAAGAGGTGGGGCAGATGCTGGGTGGCACTTAAATTCAAAAAGTGATCTTGTGCGTAAAAAGGATCAAGACCACTGCCCTAACATATTAAGCTGCACAGGTTACATGACACTAGTGGGTGCGGGTTGTGGGTGAATGGGAAAATGACAGGTGCAGTCTTGTCAACCTTGAATGTTCCAAAATTATGAGACAGACCAAACAAACCAAAGTTTGACTTAAATATCATAAGAACCCTTTAAAAACGTTTTTAAAACACACTGCTATTTGGTTTGTTTTCTGATTTCTGACTCCCTTTTGTAATTCAAGAAACTCTCCTGAAGTGCACAAAAAATACCCACCCAACTGGGGGAGCTCCTCTCTTTTACTCCAGGTTGACGGGGGGCTCTTCCCCAAAACCATCCCTTCCCCAAGCACTGACCTCAGCTCTCTCCTCTGTGCCCTGCCCTTTACAGCCTCCTCCCTTCAAACTGGGCACCAACCCACACCTCACTCTTTCTACTGTTGCTGGGCACTGCCCCTGCCCAGCTCCCATCCTAGGATACCTTCCCCTGCTCAGCTCTTTCTCCCCTTCCCTGGATGCTGCCCCTTGTGAATGTTCTGGGAGAGTGCATCCCAGTTGGGGCTGGCTCCCTGCAGGCTAGAGAGGAAAGGGGGGACACCCACCCACTGAGCCATCTACATGCTCCTTGGATCCCTTTTCTACCATCACACACCCCTATCTTTGCTTCTCTCAGCCCCACTCAATGCTGAATAGAAGGAGGGGATAGTTAAAAACTATCCCTAGACTGGTTTCCTGTTTCTCCATCTGCCTCACGGCCCAGGAAGCATGAACAGATTCGTCGTGAGGGAAACAGCAAGGAGAGCACCAGCCTCTGGTGTGACTCAAACTGCAGTCCAGAGTCTGCAGCTCAGTCTCCCAGCAGAGGCCTCTAGTCAGAACTGCAGCATCCCCTACATCAGTGGTGTTCAACCTTTTTTTATTTGTGGACCCCTAAAAAATTTCAAATGGAGGTGCAGAGCCCTTTGGAAATCTTAGGCAGTCTGTGGATGCCCACGGGTTCGCGGACCACAGGTTGAAAACCACTGTCCTATGGTAATTACAACCTTTCGTGGACCCCTTAGACATAGTCTGCAGATCTCCAGGGGTCCGCAGACCACAGGTTGAGAACCACTGCACTACATTTCCAGCAGAAACCTTGTGCTACCAGGCACTTCTCATGAAAGGCCAATTTTAATGGTGCAAAATTGTGGCACTTGTGAAAATATTGTGAGGGCTGGCAGTCCTGTGAGATGGTTCTAGCGTAGGGGGATGATTAGTGGCCTAGTATCTCACCATACTCAAGCGTCTGGGCTACTTTGGCTGGAGAGTGTCCAAAGACATTACAAGAGACTGTTATAATACAGGCATTTTCCCTATCTCAAAATAGATCAGAAGCGAATCTCCCCAATATTCCCCAGGGAAGAAGAAAACCTTCGTAAACTAGACTTTAGTGTCCCGATGCTGATTTCACGGACACCGGTGTAAGTGAGAATTCTCAGATTCTTGTTTGTCTGAACCAATGTTTCTCAACCCATGGCCCACTTGCGACCCAATCAGCACACAGCTGCGGCCCAGGTGACATCCTCAGGGCCATACAGGAAGAATATATATTGTGTGGATGTGGCCCACATAACACACACAGAGCTGTATATGTGGCCCACAATGGTAAATAGGTTGAGAACCACTGGTCTGAACTATTAAAATCAAGTTAGGTATATGCGAGAAAGATTTGGATGGTAAGGGACAGACAGCCCTAGCCCTACCCCTACATTTTAAAAAAACAAACTCCTGAACTACTAAAACTGCTAAAGTCATTCAAACTCCTAAACTGCTAAAAGATTAATTTTAAACTTTTCCCAAAGTTGCTAGCACTAGGTTAAAATAACAGAGCAGTTTAAGGAATATTTTCTTTTAAAACAAACATATATCTTATCAAATGCTGCATTTTGCAGCACACATTTATGGCTACTGAGAGATTGGTCTGTCTGCCTGACAATCTCATAATGTAGTACATTTAAATTAGAAAGATTAAACAAATGATCAAAATCATGAGACTTTGTTTTAACATATATAATTTTTCTGAAGTCCAAGGCCGGGTGAGAAGAACACAGAAGGCAGAACACTGTACTTTATGTTCAGATTAAGACTGGAGGTTGACTTGCCCTACTCATGAGAAGAAATTTAATTTCCATTCTCATCTGGTACTTGACTTTCGTTCAACAGAGACCAAGCGCTATGCCAAACAGAACTAAACTGCATGGTGGATTTATGAGTATGACTGCTTTTATGCATGCTCACAGCTGAGGCCTCTAAGCTAGTTCACCTGTGACATTAGCAGAACTCCACCACAAGTGTGGGTTATTTTTTTTCTTTTTTTAAGGAAATCAAGTATTTGCCCTGTTTTTATTCCTGACATCAATCATCTCATTTATCTCAGCAGCGAATTATTTTAACAAGCACATGCAATTAGGGGGGGGAAAAAGCAACAATAATGAAGCCAAACAATTCACTCTGCATCAGCACATACCATGCATAGTTACACAGACGGTCTTCAATCAGCATGCTAGAGGAAAGACTGGTGTAGCTGGAGTAAGGCCCCTAGGGAAGTGCAATATATAAGTCAGTTGAAAACATGCAATGAGCTTATCACATGCACAATGCACACAGACATATTTAAAGTAATTGTGCAGTCAAAAGGTTACAGGAGAATTTTTAACAGTGAAAACTTTTAAAAAAAGATACTTTAAAACATAATTAATCTGTTACTTTTTTGAGGTAGAGAAAGCCCATTGCTATGAGGTATCTCTGACCAGCTGTGAAACTACATTTCCAGATGAATTTGGTGTTTGACAAAGATAACATGCAAATGTGGCACCTTGACAATTAACAAGATGAGCTCTCAAGGTCCCTTCCAGTCCTACGATTCTACATAGAGCAAGTGTCAATACTGCAAGCAATGATTGATAGTGTCAGAATTTCCTTTCCAACTGTTTAATCTTCCTAAGTGAGCTAAGTAAACTATTTACGACAGCACTTTCTATCAGTTTGCAGTGTTGTAGCTGTCTTGGTTCCAGGATATTAGAAAGACAAGGTGGGTGAGGTAATATCTTTTACTGGGCCAACTTCTGTTGGTGAAAGAGAAGAGCTCTGCGTAAGTGCGAAAGCATGTCTCTTTTATCAAAAGAAGTTGGTCCAGTAAAAGATATTACCTCACCCATGTGGTCTCATTTTCTGCCAGAACATTTTTGAAGACAATCAGTCCTTTTCTCTCTCTCTCAAATATCTGAATCCATCTTTCTGAAAAATTTCACTCTTATGATATCGAGTTACTTCTGTATTTCAATGGCAATTCAACTATTACAGTTACAACAATTTGTAAACTATCTGAAGGCCCAAATCTGCAATCTTTAATCTGGCTGTGTATTTCTATGCAAATAGCATTAAGTGCACCCTCTCTTGTCCACCTAACCTATCCCATTGACTTTACACTTTTAATTTTCATTTAATGTTTTGGCACTACATGGTCTATTAATAATACAGTAAATTGTAACCCATCTCTTATGAGATTGCTTTTTCTTCTTTTTGCCTTTCTTTCCTTCATTCACTTCTTTTCACTGGCTGTATATTTGGAGGCACCTTTTCCTCCTCTTTTTCCATTTACTCCTAAATTATATTTTTTGACAGTACATAACTCCTCCATTTTTCTCTCCCTTAGTCTGTTTTCTGTTCTTTTGGTGTTTCTCCTCCCCTTCAATTTCTCCCTCCTTTTCTTGTCCTCCATTCGTCCCTTTCCTCTCGTCCTTCTCACCCCAAGAGACTCTGACTCATCACTCAGGTTCAGTGCTCCACCACATCCTGTCACTCACACACACTATTCTCTTCCTCACCAGACATGCCTGTTGCTCCTCACAGCCACACACATATACACTGCAATCACACTGTTTCCCACCCCTCTGTCTCTCTTGCATTCACACATACACACACCCTTCTTTCTCTCCCTCCCCCAGGGAGACACTCTTTTGGAGTAATTCTTCTCCCTCTTTCAAACAAGGGAGGCCGTTTCTGAACAGACACATCCTTCTTTCCCCTGTTCCTCTCAGGCTACGTCTTCACTACAGGGAGGGGTCGATTTAAGATACGCAAATTGAGCTACGCGAATAGCGTAGCTGAATTCGACGTATCGCAGCCGACTTACCCCGCTGTAAGGACGGTGGCAAAATCGACCTCCGCGGCTTCCCGTCGACGGCGCTTACTCCCACCTCCGCTGGTGGAGTAAGAGCGTCGATTCGGGGATCGATTGTCGCGTCCCGACGAGACTCGATAATTCGATCCCCGAGAGGTCGATTTCTACCCACCGATTCAGGCGGGTAGTGTAGACCTAGCCTCAGGAGGGGCACTTACTTTGGCACCCAGGCTGCATGCAATGATCATGGCTCAGCTCACTCTGACATGCCAACTCTCAGATAGCAGGTACCAATCAGCTGCTCTGATATGAAGAGGAGAGTGTAGGGGAAAGAAAGCCACAGCTGGGAGGGTGTGAGGAGTGAATTGGGCAGTGGCTGCTCATGGGGAGCACTATAGCAGAGATGGAGGCAGAGAGGGGCAACAGCAGAAAAAGGGTCTGTTTACATTATTTTCTGCCACCCACTCAATCCTGCCACTCTAGGTAACCAGGTCTATAGGATAGGGGTGGCCCTGAATTTATTTATTCCTTTGTAATCCAAAGGTTTTAAAATTAATGTTCTCACTACGAATTGTCCCCCAACAATAAGATTAAAAATGTATTCTGAGTGAAATTCCCCTCTGTGCAGAGCACAGAGCCAATGCATCAATTAAGGGCACTTATGGACTTAAGACGTTCCTAGTGGTTCCTCCCACGGGGGGAGAATTTCACCCTCAACGATTCCCCCTCCATAAGTCCATAAGTCTTCAAATAAAAGCCAACTATGATCTGCAGTCTGTGTTTCTTTTTACCAGTCAAGCAGCGCATATTGTTTGTTTGTGTGTACATGGCTGTGGGGAGGGAAGAACATGAGGTTGTCATTCTTAATCAAAGGCAAATTGTTCATTATTTAAAAAGGAAAAGAAATGAGAAGAAAAAAAGGTTTCCTTCCCACACCCTGAGAGCACTCACTGTCTTATTTTTTCCTTTAGAAGGAGCTGCTGGATTTCCCTTGCTATCTGCAGCTTTTTTTCCTAATGAGGTAAAGGGCAATGTTGATGAGGTTTTCATCAGGTTTGCTGTTTGACAGTTGTTGTTGTTGTTCTGGTTCCCGCTCAGAGTCTCCATTATAGATCTAAATGTTCCAAATGGCCTTTTCAGCTGATCCCCAGGTTCAGTGCTGGCTTGAGCCCGCTGAGGCGCTTTGCTCCGGTCTTTGTCCTTTTCCTCATTCAGTTCAATCTCTGTTTGCTCCATCTGCACCACGGGCTCCTCAAAGGTTACTCTGAGTTTTAAATTCTGGGAGGTTCTGCGCTTTGAAGATGGAGACTTGAGGGCACTCTTAGGACTAGTAGCAACCTTTTGAACAGTGGCACTGTCAGTGCTGGACTGAGAGGTATCTCCAGAAACCTGGCTCTGAGATGCAGTCCCAGACTGATATTGGGGTTCGTTATCAGGATCGCTGCTCTCTGAAGAGGGAGATGGGCTGTGGCCATCCACAGATTTGGAAGCTCTAATGCCAAAAGGAAACCGGCGCCCTGCTGCCAAAGTGTGTTTCTTAATCATCAGATGCAAACTCTCAGTGCTTTCAACACTTTCTACTATGGGTTGTGGCCTTGGTTTGTCAGTTCTTTTCACAGGAGTATTCTTCAGGTCCTCAGAATTATTTGAGTCTGTATCAGACTCGCTGAGGGATCTCTGCATAAGCTGCCTCAGTCTGGCTAACTTCAGCTCCCTTTTCTCTGGTAGAATCTTCTTCACATTCTTGGAGGAAGCATGAACATCCTGAAATTCCAGTGTCAGCTTCTCCTGCATACAGACATTCTCAGAGATTTCTTTCCCCAACAATTGGCGCAGGATTTTATCTGAGTCCTCGTCTTTTGTCTTGGACCGAGTATGGCTGGAAGTTCCTATGCTGCCAAGAATCTGAATCCCGTCTTGGGTGTTCAATTTACTTTTTGGTAGAGACAAATCATCTGCATCAGAGGCTTTCCACTGAGGTTTTCCAGAAGCGGGGGACAATGGTGAACTTAAAGAAAAAAAAAAAAAAAAGAGAAATGATTTTCAATACAGGGCACCTCTGTCAAATGTGTACAGATATAAAATTCAGTGCTGCCATTTCCAGTGCACATCTGTCTGAGCATACTGCTCCTCTTATCCCCTTGAACTTTGTCCACGTAGAATGTATTATTATGGAGCAACTGCAGTGGCTCCACAGTGAAGGCTTTAACTCTGTTTCCATTCTAAACTAGATTTTGAGACCCTTTCTCTGCTAACGTTCACAAAGAAAAACTCTTTGCAGCCTGAAATTGTGTATGGCTACTTGAATTCCAAAGAAGAATTTTAAAGGAAAATTTGAAAGAAACAGCTGTTTTTCAGTTATAGATCTTTCTTACACATTTTTCAAAAAGGTAAAAAACCACTCCTTTTAAACTATTTTTATCCAGTCATAATACAAAGATAGCTTGGCCTAATTACCACAAACATGCTTTGTGCTAGCCAGAGGTGCATTTCACACATGTTGGATTTCACCCACCACTAACAATAAACCATGTAAGACTATATAAAAAGCTAGGGCCATTCACACCTCCCCCTTTATAGTTAGAATATTGAAAAGCATGTAAATATACATTAATTAACTTCAACATTATTAGGACGTTACGCTAATAAAAAACCCAAATATTGGAAAGTGAGGAAATACAATCTTAAGTCTGGTTTGCAAAGGATTTATGTTACAGAGCTCCTTTTCTGAGGCATGGATCAGAGTCCACAAATTCCATATCCTGATTACAAACCAAACAACACCCTGCTTTTACTCATGGCCACTGGCAAAAAGACTCAGTTACGGTGAATTTGAGGCAGTGTAGGTGTGAATTTCTTCTTTTTTCGAACAACTGTAGTTCTAATCGTTTCACAGTCCTAATGCTGTTGTACTAAATTAATATACTATTATTAATCACTTCATCTTAATTAAGAAATGTTTTAGTATGTAAGTGAAATAGACAAATTAAAGCTGTATCTGGCCTCCTGGGAAATGTGCATGCAAAAACTACTTGGGTCTAGCATAGAGATTCTTATCATTTGGGTGAAAGAAGGTTAGTTCTGATGATCTTCCTTTGGCTCTTGGAATGCGCTTCAATGAGCAGAGCTATTGACATGGCAAGATGGGATGGGTGAGGGAGTTGTAACTGGGAGGAAAACAGTGACCACCATGAAAGCAGAGATTTAAAAAAATGAAGAGCCATTTTCATCCCTACCCACATAATCAAGAGGAGGAGGTTAGTGGTTAGAATTAGTGAGTGATGCAGAGCATGAATCTTCCTCTCCCATTTGAAAAAGATATACCAACCGAGCAATTCACCCACCAACCCACCCCTCTTGTATATACAAAGACTTCTCCAATCTCAGAAGGTGCATTTGCACTATCTATTTCTACTTCAGAAAATAATATAAATAATAATTTTTTGCACTTGTATAATAACCCATCCAGTGCACTTTACAAATACTAATGATTAGTATTTGTTTCCCACAACTTATTAGCTGCTGTATAAATAGCACTCTAAGGGGCTTGATCCTAAGTCTACTGAAGTCAATAGGTGACTCTTTCCATTGACGTTAGCGCCTATGTTAAAATGAAGTTAGCTCCATAACACACCCCTGTTATGCAGGAAAGTATCATCTCCATTTTACAGATAAAGACACTGAGTGAGAAAGAGATTAAGGGAACAATCCTGCAAACATTTAAGTATGTGTGTTACTTTACTCCCTTTTGCAATCCCATTGAAGTCAACTGGACTGACAACTGAGTAAAGTTAAGCACATACTTAAATTCTTGCAGGATCAGGATATAATTGGCTTGGCCAAAGACATATAAGAAGTCTGTGGCTGGGTCAGAAACATAAACCAGGCTTGCTGGCTCACAGTCTTGTCTCCTTCCTCCTCCTTAGTGTTATTCAACTAATGTCAAGTGATCTATTTTAGCGAAAGGCGTTGACATGTTAAATTATATATGTTTCTGGTTCTGTGGCTTTATCCCATACTGCTAGCTAGTGTGGGCAAAACACGTAATGAGCATGAGAAGCCATATTAATCTGCAAGCCTTTTTTGTTAGCAACCGGTTTTATGAATTATAAAGGTTACAATGGTACACATGGTACACAAAGTGAAGCTTTACAATTTCACCAGGTGTTTCCAGTGTTCACTGTGATTCATCTTATACAAAATGTACTCGGCTTCCACAATAAATCAGATTTTATATTGGTGAGGAACAGGGATGATTAGTTCTGCTTACCTCTTTCTAAGAACGTTCAGTATTTACACCTATTACAAGCTGGCAATTTAAAAGATGTGAACTTTAAATCAGCAGTGAAAAAGAAATGTATTGAGTTTTAGCAGATGTTTTACTATTTTTTAATGTGTGAATGATTAGATAGACCATGATCTCTCCTGATAATAGTTATACAATAAAAAGGCTCCAAGTTACACTACTTCAGAATTCCACTCCTGGAAACTGTTACCTTGGGGATGTTGGTAGTGATTGGCCCTCTGATCTCTGGGCTTCTAAAAGCTGCTGGAGTTGGTTCTGTAATGTCACACGTTCTACTGTCTGCCTGTAAGGAAATATTAAACCATTAAACCCATTTTTAAAGGCTGCCTGTACAAGAGGATAAATGATACCACTCATTCAACATCACACTCAGAAGGAAGTCTCTGTTCATCTATAATTGAAGATGCAAATATAGAGCGTATAAAAATATTAACATGGACAAAGAGGTTCTGTACTCCTGTAAATTGCCTCTAATCCCTACGGGAACCCTGTGGTCACTGTATAGCACCTTCTGAAAGCTGCCTAGCTAATATAAATTATTTAATACTGGTAGTGACCGCTGTAAGTTGCAAGTTTAGAATTTTAAGCAGCAGTTTGCTGGAGCTGAGTGATGCACAAAGCTTAATCCATCTGGTGCCAACTTAAGATCCCAAACTGTCAAGTCACAGCAAACTTAAGGTCAGATCACGATGGCTCTTGCTCAGCTGTGCATGGGAAGGGAATGGATGTCCCTTGCGGGAGGCTCTAGCTCTGGGGAGTACAGGTATTGCTCGCTCCTATTCCCTCTGCAGAGCAAATCACAGGAAGGTCAAGAGGAGGGGGCAAGGCCATTGCCCATAACACAGGACTAGTGCATCAGCAGAACTATCTACTTCATCCTGAAGGTCAGAGCAGACTGTGTACCTGCACTCCCACATAGGACAGTGGTGAAAATACTACAGTGTGGTCAATAGAATACAACCATAGCCCATACACAACCTCTTAATTTCCTGTTTTACTCTGTATGTGCTTTGTAAATAGTCTGCATGCACATCTAGAATTTGGAGAACCACAATTAAACATACAATATTGTGCATAACTGATATTGCACATATGATTATAGTGCAACCCTAGCAAAGAATGAGAGAAAGTCCACATATGCAAATATGAACACAGACACTTATTCCGGGTACAGAGAGATCTATATAAACAAAAATATGAAGGTGACATCCATAATAAATTGCATTTATTGTGTACGTGTATGGCTCAAGACAGACAACATTTAGTCTTGTACCAACGACAGATTTAAACTCCAGTATCTCAAAACTTTGCAGGGCTAGAAATTGAGGCTTCATAACTATAGGAAAAGAGAGACTCGCAGCTTTCCAATAGCAGACATAGTTCTTCCTTCTGCCAGGGTATGTTCCCATGTACAACATTTTACCATCAAGACGTTTTTATGTATACATAAGTATCTTAAGGCCTTTTAAAGAGGTGTTTTAAGTTTATTAGTTTTAATTTTTCTCTCCTTTGACAGTTTGTAGTTGGACTCACGGTAACTAAGACACAGGTAGAACAATATAAGAACTAATCCCAACACATTTTTTTAAATTCTCTACAAGATTTCTGGAATAGCTTTTCTGTAAAATGTGTCATATAGAGAATACATAGTGGAGTGGGGTAGTATAACAGGTTTTACTGCACATATAGTTTAAAAAAGGCCAAGTTTTCAAATGTGTGTGCAGAAGTTGTGTCAACCAAAGTGCATACACAAATATTGGTTGTGTGTATTTTTCTGAGAGTCCACTTTAGGTGCTCACCTTTGAACAGTTTACCCTTGGAAACATTTTGTTACTTCATTTAAAAAATCCAGTTCTCTAGAACAGGAGTATATGAAGTTTGCACCCAACTGAAGCCTTCACTGACAACTTGCTAGGAAACTTGACACTATATTAGTTAGCCTCATATTTGATACAGCGATGCTGGCCACTAAGGTTATGTGTACACTGCAATGAAAAACCCACGGCTGGCCCATGCCAGCTGACTTGGGCTTGTGGGCCTATGGCTGTTTCAAGGCAGTGTAGACTTCTGGGCCCAGGCTCTAGGACCCTGTGAGGTAGGAAAGTCGCAAAGCTCAGGCTCCAACCTGAGCCCGGAAGGCTACTGCAACGAAAGAGCCTTGCAGCCTAAGCCCTGCAAGTCCAAGCTGGCTGGCATGGGCTGTGTAGTTGCTGTGTAAACATACCTTAAGACTGAAGCACGTTTTATACAATACTCTATATTGATTAAAGCAGCCTTTTACTCAGCTCAAGATGAAGCAGTGAATGAAGACTCTGCCTCGAAGACTGGCCATGAGCTACAATTTATAACTTTAGGTGTGCACATTTACTTCCCTTTGCTCTAAAATTACTGCAATTCCAGGACATATTCAAGACATGGACAAATCTGAACTCTATTGATTGAGGCCACAAGAAAATGGATTCATTTGTGTTTTGAAAAGATACGTGAAGATACTTTCTAGGAGCAGAATTCTGGATTCTCCAGTCCTGAGTGGAAGGTCGGGGAGAACACTGCATGGAGCTTCTTGTGGCTCCCTGATTCAGGGCTACCCAACCTGGGTGCAAATTAGGGCATCACAGGAGCAGCCCTAACTTAACGCTGGTGTATGATTAGCCGACCTCTGCTCCACTGTGTCCCATCCTCTCCATCCCCTTCTGCTGGGGGTTGGGGACGGTTAGTGTGATGGCTGGCTCAAGAGGTGATGGAGCCACATCTGCCACCTTTCTGCTGGCTCGAAATTCTTCTTGCTCACAAGGACTTCACCATTGGCTCTTTCTGGCTGGTTCAAAGTGTACTACTTACAAAGTGGCCTTAAGCAGACTGCAGAATCTGGACCTAAGTTTCCTGGGATGGAAGCTTGACTCCTCTATCCACTGACAAAGCTATCTCCTGACATAGCTGTGAATACTCGACATATGCTAAATTAGGGTACCATCTTAACTAAAATACCCATATTTGTGTGCTTGCTATTTAGACTATCACAGATAAGCTTCACACACAAGAGAAAACTAGAAAGATTTAATAAAAAAATGTGGAAGACAGGTGGTGTAAAGTGCTGTTACCCACAATGCTTTCAGCACATTTGATTTTATTTCCTACCCCTTTAAGCATAGGTACCTATACATTAAAAGTGACCATGCAAAAAGCACTACTTTTTTTTTCTGCTTTATGTTTTGGTCTTATCTACCTCCTTTATATTTTTAGTATTTTTTAAATCTTGTTAGTTGTGCAGCACTAACATAGCTCTGTGACAGTGAGCTGGATTCTTTCCTAGCTCTAATACCATCAACAGAATTGTTAACTAAGTTCCAAATACAGAGTCTTTATAGTTGGAAATGTCAGAGCCAGAAAGAATCCAGATGACTTCTCAGATCCCAGGTTGTATTTGCAGGACTGACAGAAAATAAATGTTTTTTTCTTCTAATGTACCAAGTGGATCTGGAAAGCACTAAAGCAATAAAGGTAAGATCCCAACATGCCATTTTACAGTTACTTCTCAAAGCATAACCACACTTTAAGTTATATACGTCTTCTCTTCCTTTAATTTTGCCCGTTCCTTCCCTTCGCCTACACAGTTCTGTGTACTATTTTAAAATCACTCCCACAATCTGTCAACACTGGATTATACGGTAAACTCCCAAGACACACTCTTTTCTAGGGTCAGGCAAATTATTTTCATTTGCGATTACTCTCTGATATCTACATATCTATTCACTCACCTCTTACCCTTTTCTCAACTTCCATTTCAGCATATTGAACTAAGAAACATAAATCACATACAGTGAGAACTAATCTGAAAGAATGCAAACTGTTTCATAGGTGTAACTTCCTATATTTGTAACCTTTATTTATGTGTTTCCCTCACTAGAACATCTTTTCTTACAGTTACTCCTGCCAAGCCTCAATTATTTTTGAAAGGCATTATACAAAAAAAAATTTAGTTCTATTTATTCTTTATTAAACTAAAACTTTAAAATTTACTCCATTCCCATATTTCCTTCATTTCATTACATAATGAATACTATATAATAGACAAGCATGCACACACACGTGATAGCCTTGTGAATTACAGGATTATATATTCTTGAGCAGTACTTTGTCATGCAATATCATGAGCTTTAGTATTAAAATACATAATTACAGATCACCCTCACTGCTTTGTGTATAGTTGGGAGTTAATTTACTTCTAACCACCTAAAGACCAAATACCGAGATTCGTACTCAGCTTTTACTTAAGCAAACTTCCCACTGAAGTCAGTGAAAATGTTTCCTGTGTAAGAAATGAATAAGGACCTCAGGGTGTGGCTCTAACTATGGGTCCGACCTTGCTCCTACTCAAGTCACAGAGTTTAGTCACCGATGACAGTGGGAACAAGCTGAGGCCCCAGACTGTATCAAAATGTTTCAATGTACCCAGATCTATTGTTTTATTAAAAAAATCCAGACACTTTATACAGTAGAAAATAAAACACATAAGTAAGTAAATATGGAATAACATTTTAAAGTTTACGCCTAGTATCTGAATACACTTTTATATTTTATAACAGAGTACCACACACAAAAACAACGGCGCATACTATAAGGTTACATTTTATCCTATAATCATTTTTATTTGTTTGGCTTCAACTGCACAACATTATAAAACCATTTATATAAAATTTCAGCTAAATCCTGGCATTTTATCTACAGAATGTAGATGAACACTGGCAACAAAATGAGAGACTGCTTTTTGATGAAAACCTGTAGTCCACGCTTCACTGACATGAGGGTATTTTTGTCTATATCTTTTTATTTTAGTGCTTGTCTTGGGTAGATGATTCCCACCCCCAGCTCCACCAATGTTATCTAGCTATGGTATTATGTCCAATACATCATGCTGCAAACCACAGGGAGTCCACAGAGAAGTCTGCCATGGAAGGACACTGTCAAAGAGATCTAGGGAAGGGCTGATTTTATATCTTTGGGCCTGACAGAATTGTTCAGGCCAAGATAGCTCAAGCAACACACAGGTCAAGGCTGCTAATGCCAGTAGAGGGTCAAAAGTTGGCTCATTTGTACAGTAGGGTGTCTTCTGATCAGAGGTCCACGGGTTCCTTAGGCCACAGACATACTACTGAGAAAATCAGTCTGATTATCCAAATTGTTAAGAACCTTGGTGACCTTGAGAAGTACAACCGAGGCCTTTTTATGTAGGCATTGTGAAAAATTTGTGACTGTCTTGGGAATCTCTTTTGGTTGGCTGCTCCCATTCTGAATTGATCATGTTTTCTATAACTAGACAGAGAGGTGGAGGATGGGCTTTTTATACTGAAGCTGATGGTAAGTACTTGTTTGTTGTTTCACTTTCCCTTTGACCCATGGTAGAAAGAATTTTCCTGGATCTCTCTCTTCTGGACTGGATTCTGAGTTCACCTTATTCTGAAGATGAGGATGATAGGTAGGATTTCTGGTTTCTAGACATTTCCTATTTTCTGAGTGTCATATGGTCTCTCTGGGGAGAGACCGAGACCACCTTAGAGACCTTTTGTGTTTACTCTTAGCCTTTGAACTTGCCCATTTGCTCTGATCAAGGGGAAACTGAAAACTGATCTGAATGTTCTGTTTTACTCCTGGTTTTGTGCTCTCCCTTAACACTGAACCATGGAGGGGTTTAGTCCAGTAGCAGAGAGTCTTTCCCCCGGCAGAGAGCAACACCCAGGTGCTCCTTTTCTGGGGACAGTCCTTGAAACAAGAATCAGAAGAGATGCTTCTTGAGCTGGTTCAGGCCCCCAGAGCTTCTTAAGTTCAGCTGGTCAGGCTGAGCAGCAGGGATGGTGATTTGATTTCACATAGCCAGATCCCACATGTATTTGGGACAGTCTGGCTTGATAACATGCTAAGGGTGGTGCCAATTCCAGGGAGGCAGATGAAGTGGCTGGAAAGGAAGGTGGTAGGTGAACTGCTGTATCTGTAGGACACCATTAACCACTTCAGCGCTTTCATGGATGGACATAAAAGGGGGTTTCAGAGAGAGGCACTTATCCCTGGCTGATGAGAAGCACTGGTAAGTAAGTAAGTGGAAGTCACTGAGTCTTCCAGCAAGTCTGGAGCTGGAGTTCCAATACTGGGACTGAAGCTGGTAACCCAAGCAGGCAGGCAGAAGTTGCTTTTTTGAGCCAGTGATGGATTATTCCACTGCCTGACTAGGCTGCAAGACAGCTCCACAAGAAGCTCACAGCATTTTGTCTCCATCAGAGATTGGGGAGAGGCAGCTGTTGCACTGAGTGGAACAAAGCCCTTTGGCCTGAAAAGACAGACTCCTACAGAGCACAGTTTGATTTCCAGCTGGGGCAAGCACAGAAACCAATCTGAAGTCAAATTTAATGATCCTAAGGGTTTCCTATGCTCTACAGCTCAAGGGAAACCAGGGGTCTGAGAGGTAACTGTTGCTGTTGTCAGGAAATATTCTGAGCTAGGTTATATTCCTAAGGGGGAAAATGTGCCCGCTGCTTGCTGGTTGACAGATTTAGTCTTCCCTCCCCAATGAGGCATCAGAGGTAAAATCCAACACAGGTACGGTGAGTCTTGATAAAAGAGAATTCTACTGAAAAGAGAACTGATGGTTGCTATTTATACGCTCCACTTCTATTTCAGTTTGTTGAAAATATAATAACTGAGATGAGTATCTGAATAAGAGTGAGTTTTCAATACTGAAAGACAGCATATGAAAAGTGTGACAAGATATAACATTTTTCTCTTTTGAATTCACTGCTTTGGAAGGCGTTTCTCACTGTGTGTGGGGAGTGGGGAAAGGAACGTAAGCAACTGGATCTAGTGCACTGCTTAGCGACCTAATTCTTGAGCGTCATGTTCAAGTTACCAGGAATCAGGCAGGAGCCAGACGAACTCATCTGGACGGGGTCAAACACTAGTCAGGTCATCATGAATCAGGACACCGTCAGGATACAAGTAATCAGGCATATCTGAGTCTGAAGCACTGGACGAGGTGTCCAAGCAGCAACCAGGTAGAGCCTAATTGTGCAGACAGACATCTTCCTGTGCCTCTCTTTGGGTTTAAATAGGAAGCCCGGACCAGGGCCGGCTCTGGCTTTTTTGCCGCCCCAGGAGCCGGGGGGGGGGGG